CAAAAAGTGGCAGGAAGAAAATGGTATCCAGAAGTTGCCCTGGCCGAGTCAATCTCCTGACATGAACCCCATCGAAAACCTCTGGGCCATACTCGACTGGCAAGTCAAGAAACAACCAAAAAACCAACTTCAAAGAGCGATCTACTCCAAGTTTTGAAGCAAGAGTGGGCGAAAATCCCATAATCTACAATTGACGAGATGATTCTCACGATGCCTCAAAGGATCAACGAACTCCACGAAGTGAAAGGAAGATCTACTAGATATTAATTAAATTATAAATATATCAATTCATTACTGAAAAATTTAATTTTTTCTGAAAAGGTGGTGTCTATTTACTTGTGACCACGCTGTGTAAATGTATAATGTTATGAGATATAAACTATTTAGTCAAAACATTTATGTTTTAGTGTCATAATTTGTGTTCATTCTTGAATGACAGAGGCATAATTTATATTTATTTCCTAATTTTTTAACGTGGTTACAAAAATCGGTCAAATCAACCAAACCTGTACAGAGATTAGTTACTGAAAATAACAGATAAAATATAAAGTTTTTTTCTTAAGAAACATTTAATAACTATGTGGACATTATAAAGATTTCGTATGTGAAATTTGGAAATTTTCTGATGCACAGCACAGAAGTATTTTTAATGTTAAAATGAAAATTACTTCAGATATTGGATAGAAAAAAAGGCACGAGAAAAACGTTGTTTTACAAACCTTAAGACTTGATAAAATAATTTGATGTTTTATTTATGATAGCATTGAAATATTTACTGATAATTTGCCAAATTTCATTAACGTTTGCTTACTAATTTAAAAGTTATAGCATGAAAACTATAAGCACAAAATGGTTACGAGGTTGGTTGTGCTGAAAGAGTTAAAAAGGTAACAGTTTAGCAAGACAAATGAATTCATGTTGGCTTTCTTTTATTATTGTATTTCACAAGATTATTTTACAAAGCACTACAGATGTAACACTAACTGGTCTAAAATTTCAATGGAAATTCTAATCATTCCCTTTAATCAATTATTTTCATATAGATCTATAAATCTATCTATCAATATAAGCTTTGGTATTTATCCCTGATTTCTGGCCTTGCAAGCTGCGGGTCATGGGTTCGAATCCTCTTCATCAAACATGCTTGTTATGGGAATGTTATAATGTGATGATCAGTCCCATTATTCATTGGTAAAAGAGTAGTCAAAGAATTGGGAGTAGGTGGTGTTGACTATTTGCCTTCCTTCTAGTTTATCACTGCTAAATTAGGCAAGGCTAGTGCAGATAGCCCTCGTGTAACTTTGTGTGAAATTCAGAACAAACCAAACCAATCTTGATTTTCTCCTTTATGGTTTTAGTAAGCCAATCACATTTGTTCTTCACTGTTATTGTTTTTTTCCTCTTTTTTTTTGTAGGTCCATGCCCATCTTGAATTAAAAGCAATTTGTTTTTAAAATTTTTCCCACGTTATCTACAAATTTTTCTATAAATTAGGAACTTAAAATGTAATTTTTATTTATCTCAACATGTAGCAAAATATCAAACCTAGCTACACAGTAATCACTTTTCTCCCCTTAATTCTAAACTTGTAAAATTTTAAAAGTTATCTTGTATTTTGCTCAAATTATCAACCTTCAATTATTTAAAGAACTTTCTTCATAACAAAGCATAATTTCATTAAGTACAATATTAGGCCTATACTTTCTTTTATTCCATTATGTGTGAAGAATCACATGTTCAAAGTGAAGTCATCTTTTCTGGTTGACTCCATGGTGTGGTATTAAACTAGTTGCAAGTTATACTGTAAGGATGGAAGAAGTATGTTGTTTCTGGTATAAGGTATAATAAGTATTTTTAAACATTTAATTTTACACGAGTATAAAGTTGGTATTTTTAAACACGTCTTAAATTCGGTTTTTGATTTAAAATAAAATCTAAATTAAATTAATATTTGCAGAGAAAAATTCAAGGTCTCATTGAAGAAAAGAGGATGCAGTAAAAGTTTTCGACCCTTTCTTAAATTTAGCACCAAAGAATCTGAAGAATCTCCGATGTGGGACACGGTACGGACATTGTCGTGATTTGAGTATATATTGTTTGTCTTTAGCAAGTTGTGGGAAAGTTGCATTAGACATGACTTTTACTTTGTCTTATTAAACATATATTTCTCAGATAACCACATAATGAACAGGCATATTTACAATATTCACTTGTTTAAATACATTGGGAAAATACATTTCCTAAATGTAAAAAATAATTCTAAATTTGTAAAATTATCTTTTAGCTTCAAAAGTTTTAAAGTTATCTTGTATTTTGCTCAAATTATGAACTTTCAAGTATTTAAAGAACTTTCTTCATAACAAAGCATAATTTCATTAAGTACAATATTAGGCTTATACTTTCTTTTATTCCATTATGTTCAAAGTGAAGTGAATAAGACTTGCTAACGTTGTAGATTTATGTCATCAATGTTTTCATTAAATTACAAAATGTTGATAAAAATGTCACCAAGTTTAAAAAATTCTCAAAACAGTTTTCAATGTATATGAGCTATTATGTAATCTCTTGGAATAATATATACAGGGTGTCCCAAAAAATGTATACACATTTTGAATGATTATAAATAGAATGTTTATTAAGATATGTTTGAGTTTTATAATCCAAGTTAAAGAAGACAAGTATAGAATATTTTGAGTTATCGCAGGTA